TAACTACTCGATCGTACTGCTGCTTAGTGGACACAATGGCACACAATAGAACTCAGGTTTTATACCAGTAGATCACAGATGGTTTATAACTTTTGTGATTTTTTTCACAGACTAGTACTAGCAGCTAACGCTAAAAACATAGGCAGTAAGCAGGGAGTGGAAGGGAGGAGCGTGGCAAAAATTTTACCGGAAATATGTCATTAATGACCGTGGCATATAGGCTTTTGTTTGTATAATTTGTGGTGTTCAATCCAGCCCGTTTCCTCCTCTGTTGCAGCACTGATCTCCACACTTGTTTCTGTTCCTGGTTTTCTCAGGTGTTCTTTATTTTTGTACTGAGTTCCTCCCTTGAGTTGTGGGAGCATTTAATGCGCGTTACTTCCTGTATTCCCAAAGAAGTTGTGACTGTAATCTCTTGAAATAAACAAACTTTTTGTTAAATTTTGTAAATCTGCACTCTGGGCTGGCAACCTCAGAGGGCTCATTTTAGTTTATTGTAAAACTACTTTAAATGTTAAGTTCATGAACACAAGCTATCAGGCATCAGTTTCTGGTTACACAGTAGAAAGCACCACAGCAGGTTATTAGATGATAAAACATGTTTGTTTTTTTTATCTTACTGTCTTTTTTTTTTTTTGTCTTTTGTTCTTCTGCTGTGGAAAGGGAAGAGAGGTAAGTTTGTTGTTCTCTTATCCTTTATTTGTTTACCATGAGCCCACTCAAACATCTTTTTGTAAACCAAAATCTTTTAACAAGTGGATTTATTTAATTGATTGATGTAGGCTATGTACAAAACAAGGCAGACATCTTGAAAGCTGCCATATTGGATCAATGGCAAGTTTTTACAAAGAGGGCCTCTTAACCACTGCTTGCTGGGGTTTTCAGATATTTCATATTGCCTTTTGTTTTTGAAATAAACCCTGTAGACTTCCTGTCACATGTATGAACAGCTTAGAAAGTGGTTCATGTACTCATACACTACACATCTACACAAATAATATAGTGTTAATTATACAACACAAGCACAACCATGGAGTTCAGCAGGTGTGAATCTTTTCACTCTTTTTGAGTCCGATTGCAGCACATAGGGGTTATAATGTTATGACTGATGTAGAAAAACCAAAGTGCTTAAATTTCTTTACATCAGGGTCATTACTTTAGATTTTAACCAAATGCAAACGTTCAGTTTTTTTACTTTCTTTTGTGGAGATCAGCCATCAGACTGACACGAAAAAGTATTTTTTTCTGATCAGTATCAGAAAAGTCCAGAGATCTACTTTGATTCTTGGTCCTGTGTCTTAAAAGGGTCTTGATGACCGAAGTCTGATTAGTAAAAATGACCTGTTAAAAGCAGCGGATGTATAAATGAAGAGAGGCCGATGTGACCGCTGGCTGCTTTTAAACTAAAACCAGGGTGAAAAGCAGTTTGTAAAAGTACCTGCTTGATTTATTCTGTCTAAAGAGCATCGAGGCTCCAGCAGACCCGGATCAGTCTGCTCAGGTGACCTCTGCTGTTGGCTGTTAAAGGACCTTCAGGAGAAAAGTGCAACCAGCTTTAAATCTCCTCTTGGTGTCCTGGGGTCAGTTTTCTCTTCCATGGCAGCCGCAGAGATGTAAGACTTGTAAAAGAAAAATGACGAGTGGCCTTGAAGAAGGAATCATCGGGCGTTAGAAATCTGTCTTTTCAGTTTGTTACTCCAGTCAACAAACAGCATTAAAACACCCTGATGATTCATGGTCTTCTTCAAAACATCCATTTCAATAACAGCTGCTGGTAAATAGCTGCTAAAATACACACAGACACCAACACGCACGGTAATGACACAAATGAGGGTGGAAAAATTTGTTTTCGACTAGTTGAAGTTGTTTTTACTGCTGCTTCAGAGCGAGCAGAGCATTCTGTGTTACAGGGAAATATCAAACTCGGGCGAAGAAATGAATGCTTAAAAGATTCCAACAGTGAGATTAAAAAGGAGACGACGGGCGAAGAGAATAAATAAGAGCAAAAACATGACAAAAAATCATTAAGAATGACATCAGGATTTACGTTAACATTTACATCAAATCGAAGGTGAAGAATTATCACAGCTTCTAACAGAAGAAAATACCATTTATTATTATTCTTCACAGATGCTGAAGGATTTGAAGATTTCATCATTTGCAACAAAAATGTTTCTAACAACTCAAAATATTAATAAATATTGGCATTAAAACGTGGTCTTTTAAATAAACAGTTTAATCAGCAGGTCTTTTTCTTTCTTTAAACACAGCAGATATAAAGTAAATGAGTGATATTTAATCTTATTTTGAGGTTAGTTCAGTCTGACCCCTCCTCACATTTGATCACTGGAAACCTAAAGTGTGTCACTGTTAGTGTGTTAGCCAAAAACACTGTTTGTTCTGCTGACAGCTCTTGGATGTGTTGTTGTCTCTCAGGCGTTCTCCTGGTGGTCTGACCTGCTGGCAGACCACGCAGAGGCCTTCCTCTGCCTCTACAGACAGAACCTGGACTCAGCTCTGCAGGTCCAGCCTGCTGACTCCTGGAACACCTTCCCCTTGTTCCAGCTTCTCAACAACTTCCTACGAACTGACCGTAAGACTTTGATTTGTTTCTTTTGTTTTGTTTGTTTGTTTGAAACCCTGACTGGATGAAGGTAAATATGTGGCAGAGCTACTGCTGGAGCTCACCAAAAGAAAAGCACAGAACTGTATCTAGTCTTTATCTTTTCAGAATATTTATAGTGTTTTATTTTACAGCTTGAGATTGATGTTGTTATTAAAACTAATGGTGTCCCAGTTCCAGTTTTTTTAAACCAAGCACAAGTACTTCAACTTAAACATTACACGCTGATTATAATACACATTTATTTTATTTAGAACCTGGAACTGAATCAGATACATATCTGATGTTTTTCTCAGTCTGAACCCTCGCATTCCCTTACATCAGACTTTTACATCAGTGAGGTGGAGCTGAGGGATCGATAAAGACCCTAACCTCGAGTTATTAAATCTTGTAGCTCCACACGTCTTCAGCTACAGAACAGAAGTCCAGATGTATTGTCTTTTTTCTTTTAATTTTCTATGTCCTGGATGACATAACTAATGACAGTCACATTGTCTGTTCAGATGCTAAAGTTCCTCAGTCAATACTTTACTTCCAGCAGTTTGTTTCGTTCCAAAAATAAAATGCTGCACTGGAGCATCCGGTCAGAGACAAGTTTAAATACTAACTAAACAAGCATGTCATATTTTTTTATCTGCTCTTATTGAACAACAACTTCAGAATCCACATGCCATCAGTTCTGGGTATCAGGGAATTTTGAACAAGTATGAACAATTTTAAAACTGCTGGTTTTGGGCCTGATACTGACACCAATATCTGTATCAGAACACCTTAAATTTAAACCGGAGTATTATCAAACAGTGTCATAAAACATTTAAATGTTTTATGATGCTGTGTCTCAATTTATGGATTACATCCAACATAGACCGCAGTCGACATGGACCATAGTTCGCTCGTGTCGGCTGCATAAACGACTGTGAAATGGGACGGTCTAGTCTACGGAAGACGTGTGTTTGTCTGACAACCAGCTGCCTCGTTACCATGATGACACGTTATGTACAGTATCACATCGTTTCAGTTGTTTTTTCAAGGTATAACTTCTAAAAATTCAGTTAATAGAAAAACATTATAAATAAAAAAATCATTAATGATTTGAGTTTAGCTCCAGTATCAGTGCTTGTAATTGAATTTTATTTAAAATCTCAATGCAACAAAATGTTCTTCTGCTAAATTGCTTAACTTAAAGGGATCCCTGATTAGTTGTAACATTAGACTTTATTTGATAAACATACGTATACTTTAACTGTAAAATAAAGACTGTAAAAATACTGTAGGCTGTTTATTTTTTAAAATTTTTAAAAACACATTTTAACACGGATGGAGCCATTTTATTTACACACAAAGCATTTTGAGTAAATGATGACGTGGATAGGTCYTCGGTGTGAGCGAGCTATATCCACCCTGAAGGTTAATCTTGGACAATATCTGATGATTGGCTCTTTTAAATGAAACCAGAGAGCGTTGACAGAGAGGAGAAGGTAGAAATGACTCAGCCTGTAACTGAAAATATGGATGGAGGACAACAGAGCTGCTTCATGGAAGAAGAACGTTGTTTACATATTGTAATTCAAGTTTCTATGAGTTTAAGCGTAGCCCTCTAAGGCTGTCACTTGTGGTACAGAGGCAGAGCCAGATGTGGTCTGTGCCACACCAGCTTCACAAAACCAAACCAACATAACGTCCTTGTGACAGTACGTGCGTAATAACGCATGGGTAAGTCCTTGTGCTTAAAAAGCGCACGGAACACAAAAACGTCTGCTGAACAAGCACACATTTTGCTTATACTGAACACAGAAAGCAACAGAACTATTCACAATACATAAAAACCTTGAAGTGATGCAGAACATAACGTGAACAAATGAACTGTATGATATATCACTCTGACGTGGACCCGAACACGGAGTGCGTCAGGGACCCTGACTCATCGCGCAAATAGAAACAAACAAAAGGACAAGGGGAAGACCAGGAGGCAGCTGAATAAATCTCCTGGACAGACATTCCTCTGAGCAACGCAGAGGAGGAAGCAATCCCCCTTGTGGAATGCGCTGATAGTGCATCTGGTGGCTGCAGGCCTGAAGAGATGTACGCCTGCGATATGGCTTAACAAAGCCAGTGTGACAGCCTCTGAGAAGATAAAGGCTGACCTGCAGATTGCTCTCTATAATGTACAAATAAGCATTGAGAGTATCTCATCCCTGCTGTGCGGGCTACATAGCATCCTGAATGGTGCGCACGACGCTGTCAGATAAACCCATATCTAACAAGCGTCGCCATTCAGCAACCAAGCCCACAGGGGCTGACCCAGTACGGGGAGGCTCGTGATTGCTCCTCTCGCCAAGCCAGCTGCAGCGGACAATCCGACAGTAATGGCTGGAATGTCGGAAACCAAAGCTCATTTGTGCGCATTGGAGCAATCAGAATCACTCTCTGTCGATCCTTTCTGATCCGGCCCAAGAGGTGCGGGATCAGAGAGACTGGAGGAAACGTATATAGCAGCTTGTCTGGCCACGGTCAGGACACGAATTCATCCACCCCTAGCGCTGGGTTGTCGCGGGGGCTCAGAGAAAACCAAAGGTCGCACTGTGTGTTTTCCCTGCTCGCGAACATGTCCATTTCCGCCTTGCCAAATCTTTCCCAGATTTGCATAATTATGGTCGTGTTCAGAACCCAATCTTTGTCCTGAGGACCTCCCCTGGACATAATATCCGCTCCCCTGTTCAGCACCCTGGGGATGTACACCGCTCTGGTCGAGCGTAAATAGACACGAGCCCAGAGGAGAAGTTCTCTGGCTGTGTCCAACAACTGACGGGAGCGCACCCCCCCCTCCCGGCGGTTTATATAAGACGCTGCAGCCCTGTTGTCCGTGTGGACCAGAACATGCTGATTCTGGACCAGGTGGAAAAAATTCCTGAACACTTTTCCTACCATCAGGTGTTCCAACACATTTATGTGAGGGTTCGTGGGAAACTGCCAAGGGCCCCCAACTGTTTGGGACAGACGTGTCACCCCCAGCCTGAGAGAGACGCATCAGTGAAAACCGCTATGTGATGTGTCGTCTGCTCAGGGGAACTCCCGCCGACAACGTCTGCAGGTTTGACCAATGGTTCAAGTACGCCTGGACTGAGAGAGGGATTAAAACAATCCTGCGCTTGCCGCGAATCGGGTCGATCCGCAGGTGCACAAACCACCACTGTAAGCGCCTCATGTACAGCAGCAGGAGTGGGACCACCGCATGTGCTGCCGCCATCATTCCTAATAGGCGCATGACAGTTAGAGCCATCACTGACGCGTGGGGCCTGATCTGTGACAGCAGATTCAGTAACATTCCCTGTCTGGCCCATGACAGCTGTGCTGTAATGGTGACTGAACTCAAGTCCATGCCCAGATACGTCACGTGTTGTTCTGGGGTGACGGAGCTTTTCTCCCAGTTTGTGGAGAAGCCCAACATAGTCAGATGCTCTATTAGTCTCTCCGTCTGTGACGCTGCTTCCTGACCGGTCGGAGCCATCAGGAGCAGGTCGTCCAGGTAAAAGAGAATTCTCATCCCTGCTGCATGTAACGGCCGCAACGCCTTTCCCACACACTTGGAGAAGGTGCGCGGCACTAGAGCATACACAAACGGGAGACGGTTGTATTGATACCAAACTCTCTGAAAGGAAAAGCGCAGGAATTTCCCGTGTGCAGGAATGACTGGGACGTAAAAATATGCACCCTTCAGGCCGACTGACGTGAACCAATCGCCTTTCTGGACACCCTGAAGCATCTGTGTGACCGTCAACATGTGAAAAGGTCTCTTTACTATATAGTTGTTGAAGAGAGAGAGGTCCAGGATCGGCTTCATCTCTCTGGATTTTTTGGGGACCAAGAAGTACCGTGAATGTCCTTGGTGTTCCTGACCCTTGGGGACTTTGGAGATCACCCCCTTGGACAGGAGCTCCTGGAGCTCCATCTGTAATGCAGGTGCCTGTTGGGGGGACAGACATGTTTCCAGGATCCCCTGAAAACGGGGAGTTGCAGCTGAAAACTGCAGCCTGTAACCCATTTTTTTTAAACGTTCCATCCATTTGTCCATAGGACAAATGCGCTCCCAGACCACACTGCGTCTGGAGAGAGCCTGGTGCATCTGATGGTGAGCGGAATCTGCTGGAACATTCAGAGCCTTCACTGCCATCACGCTCTCGGTGACCCATGGGAAGTTCTGATCCAAAGGGCCGAGCGGCAGCTCCAGGGAGCCCAGCCGGCGACTGCTTCACTAGCTGTGGGCCCGGAAGAAGTACTTCCGGGTTCCCGTAAGAGCCAGTAACTGAACCATTCATTTTGCTAGCTTTTGCTGAAAAGGCACTTCCAGCGCCCTTCTGTGATACGAGGGTCAGAGTGAGGAGGGGCCTGTGCGCCTCCTCTTCTGACTTAGTTCTTGTTGCCTGTCCTCAAATACATCAGCCGTCCGCAGACGGGACGAAGAGGAGGGGCTGTGAATCTGTTCCGCCACTGCCCGCCAGGGGGCGGCACGAGCTGAGCGAAACCCCAAAGCAGCCAACTGTGTTGAGCAAACCCTGGCATTCGTTTTCTCCCCCGCCATTTTGAGGCGAGGAAAAAGGGACGAGGGTTGAGTGGCAACGGGGCTCGTCGTGGCGCACGACAAAGTGAATTTGTCCGCAGCAGGGAAACAGTGTGATGTTTGACTGTGAACAGTTGGGGCTGTGAGTCAGCTGGGATGGGCCCCAACGGGCTTAGCCTCACTCAATGTGGGGGAAACATGTGAACTGGATGCTTGCGACAGGAATTTAGTCTTTAGGTGAAAAGTTTTATTTTTATTTTTCACACATGCAACAGCATCAAATTTAACACACATCCCCCCCACCCCCACCAGTCATTTTTTTCTGGGACGCCGAAGGCGGGTTGGACCAGGAGCACGCCAGCTGTCCCACGCCACGGCGAGGGGCTCTTTGCTACTGCTGGAGAGGATGCCA